GGCGGAATCAGTGGCTGAATCAGGACGCCTGGGGCAGAGCAGGTGGGGTGCTGCTGGGTTGGTCCAGTAGCGCCGAGGAGCGGCCGCGCTACTGGACCAACCCAGCACCGAGGCAGAGTTGCTCTGCCCCGGGCTTCCTGGAATCAGCTGCTGATCAGTTTCAGCAGCAGCTGACTTGGGGACGCCTGGGGTTCTTAAGTTGAATCTGTATGTAAGTCAGAACTGGTGTCCAGATTCAGCCGCTGAATCTGGATGCCAGTTCCGACTTACATACAGATTCAACTTAAGAACAAACCTATAGTCCCTATCTTGTACGTAACCCGGGGACTGCCTGTATACTATAGCCTGAACTAATTTGTTCAGTGCTAAGCAATCCTTTGAGGTGGTAGGTTTTTTTTTTTCTAATTTCATGGCAACCCCACAAATATTTCTAAATAACTCTGAATCACTGATACTTAACCCTATCATCTGTGGAAGGAAAACTGCACAGGAATATCTAATTAGAAGGAGTTTCCCCTCATTATTCAGCTGTCTATATGGACTGTGTAGGGAGTCTTTGCTGTTTGCAGCATCAGATACTAGGGATGTCATTGTGTAGATGACTACATGATAAGCCTGGATTTATAGGTTAATCTGTTCGACTATATGCATCCCCCCAGCCCCCCCCCTCCCCCGGCCTTGGCTGCCTCTGTATCAAAGGCAGCAGCGTAGGGTGGCTGAGGCCCAGGAATGCACTGGCTGCCAGCCCCGCCCCCAGGGACTATCGAATAGTCATGTAAGTGCTAAGATTTTATGCAGCTACACGACTATTCAATTACATGATATCTAACATCCCTATCAGCTTCAAGTCCATGCCAGAGGTAGGTTCTTAGATATAATGGGCCATTGGTGTGACATAGTATGGTGTATATTCTTATTGTAGGACCTGTGCGAAGACTGCCTGTCCTCTAATCTCAAAAGTAGTGATTCTTAAGAGGTTGAGAGCTCATGTGTTTTAGCACTTTGCTTTCAAAGCATTACGTTTTTTTTTTTTTTTTTTAAACTCTGGATTCCTGGGCTCTGTAACTCGATAGCCTTTCTGCCATAAGTATCTTGTATCAGTTGGGCCCCTAGTTCTGATTCCATCTTCATAAATATGGCCCATGTTAAGATACACAGACATGCTCTGAGTTGTCTTAAAATAATCTGTGAAAGTGTGTCCTTATTAGGCAACATTGAGTCATAAGATCCACATACAGTTTCTATAACTCAATACGTTTGATCTCTGGCTCCATGGCGTAACTGATTTTTGGATGGTTCCTTAGCCATCGTTAGGTTTCCATGTCTTCCATAATTTTGAGTTTGGTTCCCCTCCACTCTTCCTCCCTCTTCCTCCTTTTCACCCTGCCCCTCCCCCCCAGGAATAAAGACAGCTACTTTCACAGGGTGTCTCCTGTCAATGGAAATATATTAAAGCAAATGGTCAGGGGTGTAAAGTAGTGAATCATTGCACCAAGGGTAGATGTCTTGAGAGATTTAGGGTAGAATTTTTGTGTGTCTGCTATCTGTCTTCTAAAAAATCTTTCTCCATTATCCCTAATAGTTCTCAGAGCAGTAGCTTTTACCCTATTCTGCAGTGATCATTAAAGAGAAATTCTGCCAGGTGTATAAGAGAAGGCTGTTTCTTTAATGATAGTGTTTGTTATATTGGAGTGTGTCAATGAATTATAATGCACAAGCAATTAATCAGTGCTTGTACCCAGATAACTCATGTTTTGCTGGTACACAAACTTGCACCACTTTTTTAATGCATTCCAATTCCAAGCTTGTATTTTTATTCCAATCATTGGTCTCTTTGAAATGCTGATTGCAAATTGTGATTGTGGCAACTTTGTGACATAAGACTAAAGCTAGGTCTAATACCTTTTGAGGTGACAGACTAGCTATCTTATCCATTGCATCACTTGACTGAGTGAGCTGCTATACTGCCCCTTGTTTCTAGTGTTATCTATGGATATTTGGATTCTCCCCCCCCCCCCCCTTTTTTTTTTTGGTTGTCACATGAGTATTCTGTATAAAAATGTTTGAGGATGTTTAACTTAAAACACTTTTCCTGCAATGTTGGAAATCAAAGTGAAACTGACTCGCTTCATTTCACTGTCAAAACTAAAAATGTTGTAGTAATTTCCAGTGTTAATTCATGTAAAGTTACATTTTTATATTGATCATGTCATTCAAATGGATTGTACCCATTTTCCCCACTCAAGCAATCCAGTGTAGTATTTTTAAACAAGTGCAGGATTATAAAGAGTGCTGCAGTTTTCTGCTTTACACATAGTGTTCTCGCATGTGAGTGAGTGGCTTTATGGACCTTCACTAACTTTTTTACAGTTTTCCCATTACTGTTAAATTCACTTTTAATAGAGGTTGATGTCAAGACATTTTCCCAAAAAGAGAAAATGACTATTCTGTGGAGTAAATGTATTCTATTGAACAAATGATGTGATATTTTCTGTTATGCTGACTTGCAATATTTCTGGGACACATGAAGAGAAAATGGTTGGCCAATTTGTTCACAGTAGTCTGTGAAGCCCGTCTGCAATAGCTTTCAGTCAGTGAAGCAGCATTTTACTGTGAAGTAGTATTTTAAAATTGGGAAGTATAGCTGGAACAGATCTGTAAGTTGTTTTAAAAACTAAACAAAGAACAAGCAAAACAAATTCACATTGACTTTAAAACTTCAGCTGTTCATCCCTTCTCCCCCAGCCCCATTCTGATTAGAATAAAGGGACAAACAAATGACTGGATTAGATTGTGTTAATAATCACTCTATATGTAACTTTTTTAAATGCTATTTTTAAAAATATCTTTAAGGGATGCTAGAAATATAATTAAGAAACTTCTTTACTTCAATTACAGTTCATTAAAAGGGAGTTCTTAAAATCCAGCTCTTCAGGACAGAGACTTATTTTCATATGTATTCACTGCAGTTACCATGCTTTACCAATTCATGATTGGCTATTTCTGGGCACTGCCATACTATAATACTTATGTCCATTTACTCCTTTAATTTCTTTCAACTTTAACAATGAATAACTGATGTCCGATTAACTTTGTTTCTTTATGTAACCATGTTTGGTTGTGAACACTGCAGGGAAATTATTTTGCTTTTGCTTTTGCTTTTGCTTTTGCTTTTGCTTTTGTGAAGCACAATGAAAATCATATTTTTGTAAATGTGTTCAATATAATTTCTGTACAACTGAATTAATATTGCTGAAATGTATAAGTTTCTTCATTCTAAATACATCATTAGTGCATGTTTTTTCTTTTTATTCCAAACAGTTTGTAGCAGCTGGAGACCACTTAGTTCATCACTGTCCTACTTGGCAATGGTAAGTAAAAGAGAATGAGGCACAGAGAGTTAGAGGTGCAGAATGCTGGAGGGACAGCATTTTTTGTTATGTTAAATTTGCATACACATGCAAAAATGTATGGCATATCTCAATTTAATACAGATGAGAACTAAATCTAGACAAACTCTGGCAGTAGAACCTATCCCATTGTTGTCTTGGTAATGATCCAAATGACACTTTTGGAGGGAGGCTTTAGTATTAGCTACTATTTGTAGTCTCAGTCAGGATGGTTTCTCTGAGGTACCAGAGAAAACAGACCACTCTGATAACTAGAGTACTTCTCTAATGGTAAGAGCAGGCTCATGCTTATTTGGGCCTTTCTTTGCTCCATTGATTATGGGGACTGTGAAATCTTGAGACCATTTTCTTTGTAATGGTGGTAGAGAATCACTGAACTAACTACAAGGGGCTGCTTGTAAATTCAGTGCCATGATGTAACCTACATATTTAAAACAATAGCTTATGCTAACATTTGATCATGTAAATCCATATCTAGCTAAGTTATAGATTAGAAAATGCTGATGTATAGATCTGCTCTGAAAACAAATGTCATAACTGCTCTGAGAAGGCTTTTTTACCTTTCTGGAATACAATGAGAAGGTATAAATAATGTTTTTGGTATATTTTAACAGGGTCTTGTGTCACACAAAAAATCATGAAATGTTTAGTGGTTAGAGCATAAAATTAGTGTCTATATTATTGGGCAAGACAAAGTTTATGCATGTGGGTAATGTAAAACTAGTACATCTAGCTTTGTCAGCATGGCAAGTCAAAATAGTATGTGAGATGAAAAAGTGAAAGCTCTTCTTTGTAGCTCCTTCCTGCTTGCACTTGGGATCACCTCACTGGTCAACTTGGTATGTTTTAAGAGGTAAGTTTTTTCAGTATATCTCAAGTTTTGCTACTACTAATGTGGTGGTTACTAATCTCAAGCAGAAGCAGGGTATTGGTATTTTTGTCTTCTGACCACACAGACTGAAGATAGTGTTCTTGTCTACAAAACAAGTTTTCACTTTTTTGTGGTATGCTTTTTTTAAAGGGCTTCAGGAGAAGAGTTAAAGGTCAAGGCTTATCTGCCAACAGACAAACAGTTTTTGGTAACTAAAAATGGTAAGAATGGCTCTTAGTAGAGTTAAATGCAGCATAGCTCTTGTGAATTAATGGGCAAAAATAATTGCAGGCCATGCTTGTAGACCCAGCTCTTATCCTAGATCTAAAATTGGCAATAGAAAATAGAAACTAATCTTCCCTTGTATCTTCTGCATTTTCATCTTGTGGTGAGAAAAGAAGCAGATTATATGAACTTGAGTATCCAGAATCTCATGCCTCTCAGAACTTGTCATCACTGAGCAGCAAGATAGTAAATATGTTTGGGGTCACATTTCAGCTTGCATTGTGAAAGTGAAAACTTCAAGTTCAGAAATACTTAAAAATAGGTGATCTTCTCTTTCCTTGCTTGCTTGCTTGCTCTTCTCTCCTTTTCCTTCCACTCCTGTGGTTAGCAGGGACGTAGGGTGTAAGGTTTTAACTTAAAATTCTTCCTCCTTCACCCTCCCCACTGCTGGATCTTTTGGTTCTTCCTGGCTTACTAAAGTTATATTAAAATGCTTTACTTGGTAACACTCAGACTTTTAATCTCATGACAACTGCGTAACTCGGATCACCATACCAGTGACACTATAGAATGCTCTTGTAAAAGAGCTCAAATGATGGTCACACTTAAAGCAATGTCTAGTGGTGGTGTAGACTGCCCCATTTGCTATGAGGAACAACTTGCATCTCTGCCAAAACTTTGGGGGAAGCTTACTTTTCTGAAAAGAAACACCATCTTTTGTGCCAAACTTTGTTTATAGCAAAGATGTCAATTTAGCCCCCTCAGTTCTGGTTTACAAAAGAGATGTGATTGAAGGCCTGAATTATGGCCTCATAAGGTGATATTCCACACTTTGACTTGACTCACCCATTTTGGCGACTTGAAATCCTCAAGGGGCCCTTGTGATCTGCACAGGATATAATTGAATTATTCACCTGCCAGTGCTACCTACGGTTGTAACAAACTTCTTATGCAGACAGTAGAAAAGACTGCAGGCTAAGTGATATACTTCCTTATCTGGTGCCCTTTGTCGCCTCTCGTCAGTTGAAGAAAATCCAAGATTCCAGATTTCTTATGCTCAGCTGCCTGGTATCATAATATTATAACAACCTTTGACTTAAACACTTATTGAAAAGTTCTCATAGAGCACTCTACTAATCGGTTGTCAGGGAGACATCAGAACGAAAACTAGAGGACCCTGCCCCTATGCCCTGATTTTGTGAACCGTCTACAGTAGGAATGTAAAATCCCATTTAATTTATTAACCACTTAAATGTTAAATTTAACCTGTTAACTTATTAAATGGAGACAGTTGGGGGGGCTGCTCCAGCCTGATTAGTTTGGAGCCAGTCCCCTTGCTGTTACAGTGACTGCTCCAGCCCTGCTGTTTCCAGCCCTTCATGGGGCTGCCAGCTCCTAGTCTCACATGGGGCAAGAAATGGCAGCCCTGCGCAGAGCCAGTGGCCCTATTCGGGGGGCTGCTACCAGGTACCAGTTAATTATTATCAAGATACCCATTAACACCTCTACAGTCAGCTTACAAAGTATAGCACTTATGTACTAATTGTTTTCTCCAGGGCTGGATTTGAGTGTTTCAGACAAGCTTTCTGTTTATATTAATGAAAATGTCAGTTTTGCCTTAATCAGATATAAACACTTTTACTGTCACACTGTAAGGTCTCCTGTGCAGTAGCTCTATGTTAGCAGGAGAGAGCTCTCCTATTGGCATAACTAATTCACCTTCAATGCGCAAAGGTTGCTACGTTGGCAGGAGACACTGACCTAGTACTGTCTATACCAACACTTTTGTTGGGGGGGGGGGGGGTGTTTTCACATCCCCCTGACTGAGCCAGTGTGCCAACCAAATTTGTAGTGTACACAGAGCCTTATTTTAGCAAGCACAGCTTTAATGTTTGAATATGCATATGACCAGGGCTCGACAAATAATACAAGAGCCAGGTTCAGGCGATCTGTGCATGCACAGAACGATCTGCACATGCGCAGATCGTTGGACAGTGTGGCTGGTGAGCGGGGCTCACCACGGTTCAGCGAGCCCTGCATATAACACACAGTAAACTCATCATCTTAAATAACCATCTTCCTGTTAATAGCAGTTCTTCAGGTGACCAACTGATCTGTTACTTACATGACTCATGAACTTTACATCGAGGTCTGACCATCACATAACCAGTAAAAGTTACATGTTCAAATTCAGCCAAGATCTGCACTGACCAAAACCTGATTAGTGACATATGATATGCATGAAACAGGTAGTTCCCAGATTACACCAAATGGTTGGCAGTCTCAGAAAATTCTGAGACTCAAACTCCCTTCTGACCCTTACAGGTCAGGAAAAATATGAGGTGCTTGGTTGACCACTGCTTGGAATGTACCAGTTCCTTAACTAGTGTCCAAGTACTGTCATGCCTTCCCCTGTGCTAAATTCATGTGAATAATTTAGGTTGGAAATCTTGAAGGATTATCCCAAATGTACTGAAATTGTCTAAACTTGAGTTTTTAACCTTGTACCACAGAGAGCAAATGGGGCTGGGAAACCTTATTCACTGCAGGGTGCTCTGCAGTATGAATTTTTCTGTTCTTAACTAGTATCTGATGGCACTTATCCTATTACTTGTAAGAGTTTGCTCATGTTTACAGTGCCATGCTACAAGCGGTGTAAACAGATGGAGTATTCAGATGAACTGGAAGCAATTATAGAAGAAGATGATGGTGATGGGGGATGGGTAGATACATTTCACCATGCAGGTATTTGAATTCTTGTTTTTATATTTGTCTCACTATTATAAAAGACTTAGACTCTTATTAGACATTTCAATTTTAAAATTAACTTTCTCAAATGTGGTGTGTCTTAATAGCTGGTCTGAGAGACCTGAATTGCATTTCAAGTTCAGTTCCTATTTAGTGTGTGTGTGACACTAGCAAGTTGCTTAACCTCTCTGAGCCGGCTTCTGTCTGAAATGAGGTAGTATTTCAAAGGTGTGGGTGCTTAATAATTTGTCTTTTGAGATGCACTATAGAGATGCATATTATTATATCTGGTAACTTAATAATTTGTCTTTTGAGATGCACTATAGAGATGCTTACCAGATATAATAATATGCAAAATATCCCACATGCAAGGAACAAAACTTGTAACTATAGAGAGATTGAGAGAAATAAAAGCACCATTCCCTTCCACTTATTTGGAGAATAATGGCATACTGATCCCTCTTGTCAGTGAGTTTGAGATGTGCTACAGTTTAAACGCTAGGGGTTTAAACGTCAGTCTCCCAGTAAGTTGATATTCTGGGGTTCAATTTTGCTGGGCAAGTAAGGACCTACTAAATCAACCGCTGATGGTTCCCCTTTCGACTCCAGTACTCCACCAGGTTATAAGGAGTAAGGGAAGACAATGGGAGAATTTCTCCTGTGGACCTCTTGCAGTGGAGATGCCACAGAAATTCAACCTCGGGTACATTGACTTCAACTCTGCTATTCTCGTAGCTGGAGTTGCGTATCTTAGGTTGATTTTCTCTCCCTGTGTAGCACTTACATAACGGCTATGTCTAGACTGGCCCCTTCTCTGGAAGAGGCAGGCAAGTCAGAATAGGGAAATCCGCGGGGGATTTAAATATCCCCCGCGGGATTTAAATAAACATGGAATAAGAGATCCTCCGGAAAAGGGCTTTATTCCAGAGGATCGTGCCAGTCTAGACACTCTTTTCCGGCTTTTCCCCAAGCCGGGGAAAAAAGCGGTGGCCATGTTTATTTAAATCCCGCGGGGGATATTTAAATCCCCCGTGGATTTCCCTATTCTGACTTGCCTGCTTTGCATGCCTCTTCCGGAGAAGGGGCCAGTCTAGACGTAGCCAACTCCTATTGTCCCACTTTACATGAGCTGTTGAGACGAGGTCAAAAGAGTCAGTGTTGCTATTAGATGTTACCTGTGTCTTTGATACCTAAGGGCTTTTATATAAATTGGGATGATAAAACCATAATTAACTACAGAAAATAGATTGTAAAGCATTCATTGTCTTATAGGCAGAAAGTCTGTAGAGCTTATTATCAGAAAATAGATTGTAAAGCATTCATTGAATTATAGTCAGAAAGTCTGTAGAGCTTATTACTTTACATAAATATGAAAGTTTTGGTCAAAGAAAGACTTCTCTGTAAAGTGGGGCCTTTGTCACCATGAGGGGGAAACTCAAGAACTAAAAATAACTGTTCACTTGATTCTACCATGTAGTCAACCTAACTCTAAAGTGCCTAGCAAAATCTTCCATAGCATACTCTTTTCATTCTGATTTTGAGAGTTGATGATTGTTTTAGCACAGCCTGAGAAGGCAGGCTTTGAATTCCAAGATGAGTGTTTTCGAGAATAACCCTTAAAAGTGTGTGGAGCACCTCTCCACCAATATACTTACCACTGCTCCCAGCCAATGGAAGGGTTCTCTCCTGTCGGCTTTGAGTGGCTACATTAGTTTACAGCAGTGCAAAGCTTTTTACTGTAGCCAGAGTATTAGGTTATCTCCTCATGCTAATTAATTGATAGCAGCAAGCTGCTACTTTACAATGTAAGCTCCTTGGAACAGGGGTATGCCAGTATTGAAGTATTTTGCACATTTATGGCACTATAAAAATAACATTTGGCTAAGAAAGCATCATGCTTGTAGTTGAACAAGGCTGCTACATAGACAGGATGCTTTGATTGCATAGTAGTTCTTTCTACATACCCAAATGATTACTCTTGGAGTGCACCTTGCTTTCACATGCTTGATGTTACTATGAGTAAAGTAGTGTTATTGAATAGCATAGTGTTCCTGCTAGTCTAAATCTCTGACCGTGGTAAAAGCTCTCTGTCATCAGTTAAATTATGTCCCCAATGCATAACTTGTGCAGGAACTCCTGTATCGGAACTCTTGTCTCATAAGTCTGCACTGTGTGATTAGTCTGTAGTAGCCTACATAACCTACTCAGGAGAGAGTCTTTTTCTGCACTGAATAACATGTATCCTTCTAGTTCTTAAAATGCTGCTTTCTGAGCCATTTATACCATTCTGGGGAAAAGAAATAGGCTCTTCTAATTTGGACTATATTCAGTGTTGATGTTCAATCAACAGGTATTGGAGGCGTGACAGAAGCAGTTAAGGAGATCACACTGGAAAGCAAGGTATTTCTTAGGCTGTGAATATTGTACTGGAAGGCTGAAGTAAAATAGATGTCTGTCATAGTGTCCTTATGCAGCCAGGCTAATTACAGTATGTATATGAAAAATCAGTATATGGGCCAGGAAATATGTGAAGGTGGTGTGAACTATGAAGTGCGTTAGTGAACCCACTATAATATCAGCGTAAGCATGTATCCCTTTCTAAGTTTCCTCTAAGGTGTGCACCTGTGCAGCCCCTGATGGCGTCTTCAGTGGCTGCACATTTACCTCCCTAGGGCTGCAGTGCAGTGGGGAGAGATCCTCTTCCCCAGCCCAGATACTGCTGTGGGGAAGAGAGGGCTGGGATGGGAGGTCCTCTCTCCCTGTCACAACCCCAGGACAGCCAAACTCCAAAACCCTCATTGCTGGTTCCAACCAAAAGCCCTCATTCTCCCTGCACCCCAGTTCAGAGTCCCCTCCCCAGAGTCCAAATCCCTCACCACCACCCTTGACACACATCACTGCCATATTGGTGCACATAGCAAAATTCATTCTGTACATGGATGGGAAAAAATAGAAGGAACATTGATCCCTTCCCATTATCATGGAATGAGTCACAGTTAATCTGGAATATTTCAGTTGCGCATACACGTTCATTAATATTCCACATGCAGCTATAAACTCATTTTACTCAACTTTAGCTGAAAATGTGCACAGGTAGGATGCTGACAAATTGTTAGAGTAAGAAAATAAATCCTATTTTATGGTAAAATGGGGCTTACTCAACAGGTTTTATATTGTTTTTTAAACTCTGGTGCCTTTAGGTAGTCTAGAGAAGATACATATTGATTTGAACAGTCGCATGTCCTGCCAAACTTTTATCTGCAGTTGCTGAGACACTATAATAGCTACATGCTTTTTAGTTCATTTTTTTATTAACTTCCACCATACTTCTCAAATCAGCATAGGGCAGAGATGAAACTTGGAAAACTTCAGCCTTAGAGGAAGCTGAGAATAGCTGGAAGAGGCACTTAAGATAGCATGCACCTTTCCATTTTCAACCATAATATGTGTGTTTTAAAGGCATTATTGGATGAAAGGCCTGCATAGAAATCTAAAATGTCTCTTAAAAAGGAACCCGACTAAATGGAGCTGTGCCTCTGTGTTGCAGCTTTTAATCTTAAAACAGGATAAATCTGTTGTGTGAAGTGAGGAAGAAGAAAATTGGTAAGGATGCCACATAACTTTAATTCAGTGATTCCTCATGATGCTTACAAATCTAACAGGCCAACAAAATTGTCTTGTACAACAAACAATTTTACTATGTTTATGGGCATATGCACATTTTTCAAGCAGAAATAAAAGAAGAAACACTTGGCATGATTGTCACCTGTTTCAGAATATAAAGTACCTATAATGTACCTGTTGCATTGTGTTAACTGCTTTACACACATCTTATCTAGAGGGTTTAACCTTAATCAAACTCAAAAAATCTACTTTTTGCAGGATACTTGGCTTGATGGGGGTGTGACCCAGTCCAACATGGCAAATCTTTGTGTGCCTATGTAATAGAACAATATTTGCTTTTATGTTGTCTTCCATATATAGGTACTGTATTCCCAAAGCACTTCACAACTGACTTTGTGCAAACATGCCATCTTATTATATACTTAGGTTGTACTATGTATCTGTACTTGCAAGCTTGGATTATATACTTAGCAACCTTTAACATTAGAACCTATTTTATATGTAAAGGAATGTTGGCCATTGACACATAGGATATCTCCTTTCAGTCTTTCATCTTTGACTTATCAGATTAACCTCTCTGGACGTTCAATAATGGATTTAAAAGTAGCCATTCTTTTACAAAGGAATTTTTCCACCAAATTACAGAGAGACTCCTAAACTAGAATTTTTTTACAAATTTGACACGGTCAACCTGTGCTGGAGTAAAGATATTAATTGGTTAATGCATTACAAAACCAATTCCCCTGCCTTTGATACTTGCATTTTCTCATCAAAAGCTATGAATGGGACACATTCAGCCTCCTTAACACAGATCCAACAATTGACAGATAACTGCTTTTGCTGTTATATATTCTTTGGATTTTGTTATTTCCACTCCAACTCATCTGATTTATTGGGTTTTGCTCATGAAAGCTCATGATACTATATATTTGTTAGCCTCTAAAGTGCCATAGGACCACTTGTTGTTTTTATCACATTATGGCTCAGTCTCAAACAAGCTGCGAATCTTGCATGGATTTAAAAAACAAGTGTGGAATTATTGCACCAGTGACTGCTGCATGGCACTGGCAGGCTTTAAACCAGATATTTAGTTGTTAGTTGTACTTGATTCCTTTAAATTGCCTTGCTCAATGTACCAGCTCCTTATGTCTCCAAGTCACGCTTCTTTGCTGACAACTTCTTGTTCCAGTTAGCTCTATTGCTTTTGTGATGTAGCTGAGCAAGCTGTTGTGATGGGTTTCCTCTACCCCTTTCCGGGGTACCTGATGTACTGAGATTCCAGTGAGCCCACCATTCCACCAGCCTGGGCTTCTTCACTCTGTCCTGCTGTGCGCACACAGAGATAGACACACTTAGCTGGAAAATGACACCAACACTGAAATCAATACTCTAAGCTAAAGAATTGCCCAGGCATTCATGCACACACCGTCTGGAGTGCTGCACAGAAATCTATTGGTTAATTGAATAGTCAAATAACGTCATGAATTCTTATCAGTTACATGACTATTCTATAGTCCCTGGGTGCAGGGCCGGCAGCCAGTGTGCTCTGGCCCCACTACCAAGAAGCCCCTGCCACTCCACTGCCTCTGTTTTTGAGGCAGCAGCGTGGGGTGCCAGGTGGGAGCTGGTCCATGAGGGGAGCCAGTTTAAAATCCAGCTCCCCTTGCTGATACAATGGCAGCAGCCCCTGTTTGGAGTGGGGGGGGAGGGGAAAGCTGAGCTCCTAGAGCAAGAACTGAGCCAGGCTACCTGTCCACCTGGCTTCTAAAACACTTTAAATGCAGAGCTGAACCAGAGGTAGGTCCTGGACCTGGTGCAAGCCAGGACTGAGCCGGGCTGCTGGCCAGCCTGCTAAAACATTTACCGCTGTGGGGAGAGCAGGAAATGGATGTAATCTATAGCATTAACCAATAAGCTTTTGCTTATCAGTCAATTAATTGATTGACTACACTATTACATCCCTAATTCACCCCCTCTCTTAATAATGGAGGAAGATATCCATAACATTTTGCCCCTCCTTCCCAGTTATGAACTACAAAAGGTAGATTTTTAAGTGGTCATAGGGGATAGCAAACGGATCAATGATCAAATAAACATAGAACTAAGCTTAATACACTAAATAAATTGGCTACAAATTGTAATTTCCCATCCAAAACATTTGAAACATGTTGCAGAATTTCTTGAGGACAAACTGCTCTTGTTTGTGGCTTAAAATTCAGGTCAAGTGCTATTTCCAACCTTGGTCTAATCTTTCACCTCTTCCCTTTTTGTCTGTTTTCCTGATTCTTCATTCAAGCAAAAATGAGCCAAGATAAATTGATTCTCGAGCCTTACATAAGATGTACAATCCTCCTTTTCCCACTTTGACCCCTCGCACCCCTTCTTAATGGGAAAACACTGTAAGCCCAAAATGGGAGTTCAGTACCAGATGACATGATTACCTGAATTTGCAGCATCACAGGAAATTTCTCAGGAAGATGGGAAATTAGCATTTTCATAGTCATATTATTCTCCCTAATGGCCCATCCAGGCTGGTTGTGTTCTGTATGGTGGGTGTTCCCCAGGTGGCTACAGTTGTAATTGTATCTTAACTTTTGATACAAAAGAGATACATGCATACAAATAGGATAATCATATTGGAAAGATTATATGATTTACAGAATACCATCTCACATGACCTGTCTTGCCTAAAATTGATCTGTTACATATTCATATTGGAATAATACTTCTATGAAGAATATAGGGTGGAGCCACACAGCTGGCTTCAGTTCTACCGTGGGAACCAATAGGCTCATGAGCTACACTCTGATAGCAGAGTGTCTGTCTTGGTGTCGATATAGGATTAGATGTGTTTTCGGAGCAGAATTCACGACATGGACAGTTAGAAAAAAACATCCTTTGACTTTAAGCCTAAGCAAAGCTGATCTGGAAACAAATACAGAATCTCATAACTTTCAGGAGATTTTTTAATACACAAAAACCTTTAAATGCCTGACAATGTAGTATCTGATAATGTGAGTATTAGTTTTCTTATTTATGATGTTTGGATTCATAGGAATAAATGGAAAATACTCATTTGTAAATACTTTCCAAGGCAGATGAATTGCATAGCACGTCTCTTAAACTCCAGTCTCTTTAAAGCATTGGTCTCACTTGCTTTCAATTTAACTTAAAAGGAGAATATAAAACTACCAGAACATCCAGACTCCTGTGAGGATGATGAAGATGGTGAAGGAGAAGCAGCTGACATGGAAGGTATTTTCCTTTAAGTTGGATACGATGCACTTTATATCAGCCATATAATCAGTGCAGCACACGCTTTGGGAAAGCACTATTGCTTGTTCCTATGTAATGCCTATTAACAGGCCCGTGTTGGACCTGATTCTCTTCTTGTGCTGAATTTACACCACGACAACTCCATTAACTTCACTGGAATGCATAAGTGTTAGTGACTGGAAAATCAGACCAATAGGTAGCAGACTAGACAGGTCTGGCATGGCAGCTCATTGTGACTGTTGAGTACACAAACTTCAGTTTCTGAAACCCACCCTGTGAGAGATGCTGACTTCCTAGAAGCTTCCATAATGAATGTCCAGTGGAGCCGCATAGTAGCCGATCTGTCAGATTTACAGTATTAGAGTCTAGTTATAGTTGAATGGCACAGGAAAATTAGGAAGTCTACTTGTATAAAGCATGTATGCAAGTTGATTGCAGATTTTAAGGAGGCACTCTTGGTGGCAAATATTTAGGCTTCTGATTAATTACAAACTTGGCATGTACTAGTATATGTTCTTTTCTTTCAGAATATGAAGAGAGTGGTCTATTGGAGACAGATGATGTGAGTAAACTGTTTTCAACCTCCTCTATATCATGGCTAATGTGCTTTTCTCCTTTCTTAATGCATTTGCTAGGAAACTTTAAAAAGCTCTGTTCCTTATTGTAAATTAATATTGTACTCTGTCAGTTACCATGGTGTTCAGACGCTGTTTTAAGTATGGGGCAAGGGTGAATAAATATTTGTTCTACTGTTGTTGACTTTATTCTTTATCTTAAATCTTGACCCTCAGGCAACTCTCGACACACGAAAAATAGCAGAAGCTAGCAAACCTAAAGCTGATGTTGGAGGAGAAGATGCCATCCTGCAGACCAGAACTTATGACCTCTATATCACTTATGACAAATACTACCAGACTCCAAGGCTGTGGTTATTTGGATATGATGAGGTATAGCTGTAGCTCGTCTCTCCCCCTCATTCTCTCTCCCCCTCCACTCCCAGGCTCTTCTCCTTGGGGCTCCCTGCCTTGCCGCTGACCCCCCTAACATCCCCAGCATGGCTCTCAACTCAGCTGCCCGCCTGCTGCCCCAGGATGTCCCAGAGTTTCCGGGGGGAACCACTTGGTCACTGTCAGCCCTGCTGCCACATAGTGTTCCCCAGGGTTCCTGGCTGGGGCCACCCAGCCACTGCTAGCCCTGCTGCTGCTGGGGTTCCCCAGCCAGAGCACTCGGTCACCCGCCCCGCTTGTACGACTGACCTCACTGCTGTTGGGGATTCTGGCTGCCCTCCTCTGCCAGCCCCATTTCAGCCAGGAAGCTCCCCAGCAAAGGCTGCCTGGTCACTCCAGCTCCCCTGCCACCGGGGGTTTTCTGGGATGCCTGGCGAAGGCGGGGACTCCCCAGATGCCTCCTGGTCCCACCAGGGCTCCTCAACCCCTACATTGCTCCCACCTCCTACAAGGCTCTGGTACAGCAACATCCGTGGCCCTACCAGACCACAGATGTTGCTGGACCAGAGAGTCCCAGATTTGGGAGGTTCAGCTGGATTTGGGAGGTTCAGTAAGAGCAATTTGTTGGTACTTGATTACATGTTTAAGAGAAGAAGTGAGGAGATCAATATAAAGCCAAGGTTCAGCCAAGATTTACTGGGCCTGTGAGAAGAAGTAAAAGCAAGCTCACCACACTTTGGCTACGTCTACACTGGCCCCTTTTTCGAAAGGGGCATGCTAATTTTAAACTTCGGAATAGGGAAATCCGCGGGGGATTTAAATATCCCCCGCGGGTTTTAAATAAAGATGTCCGCCGCTTTTTTCTGGCTTGGGGAAAAGCCGGAAAAAAGCGGCGGCCATGTTTATTTAAATCCCGCGGGGGATATTTAAATCCCCCGCGGATTTCCCTATTCCGAAGTTTAAAATTAGCATGCCCCTTTCGAAAAAGGGGCCAGTGTAGACGTAGCCTTTGTGTGGTTGTGTAATTAGATCTTGGTACCCAGTTGTGGGGATGCACATGCAATAAAAGATTCTTTTTCTCTGAGCTGTTCACTCTTCAGCATAAACAAGAATGAAAACCAATAAGCCTGCTATCAGTAAAGCAAGAAAGAGTAAACCAGTATATACAGGCAGCAGGACAGTTGAATAGGAAAGCATTCTTCCTCTTAAGGCTATGGAATCTTGTAAGTTTGTCTAGTAATCCTAAGTCTCAAGTCTAGAAATATCTAGATTCCTGGAACCACAAGGTCAGCTCCCAGCTTCCCCAGTGTACTATCAATAAAGTACAGTGCAGTATTACATCTGCTCTGAGTGGATCCTATGGATCCTGTAGCACTTTTCATAAGAGTAAAGGTTTGCCTTGTCATTAAGATCCTCTTTCTCTTTTTGTCCCTATGGTGGCTTGCCACTTTGGTGCTATATATCTAGTTTATAAAGTGCTTTGGGGTCCTTTTGGCAGAGAGTGTCTATATGCCTGTAAAATTATACTTTAGTGCTATTAAACTTTGAGTAGGAGCAATGATTCCATCTGTGTGATACTTTGTTACATATTTCTTTTCAGCAACGGCAGCCTTTAACAGTGGACCACATGTATGAAGATATTAGTCAAGATCATGTCAAGAAAACAGTAACAATTGAAAATCATCCCCATCTTCCTCCACCGCCCATGTGTTCAGTTCATCCATGCAGGTATCTTCAGTCTTTCAGCATTTCTTTACTGAATCCAGCTTATGCACATGTTATGAAAAGGTCATTCTGTTTAATTAAAATTGCCTTTTCTCCATCTATTGTTGATCTGTCAATCATAAATTCCCATTTCCTGGACACTTTTCTGTAGCTGTCTGTTTGCATGGGCTGTTAACTTTTGCACTGAGAAGAAAAGTCACAATTGATTAAGAAGCCATCTCTGAACTCAGTGCTAGACATGCATTAAGAGAATTGGTTAGGTTTTTCCTTTGTGCCTCTGTTTTGTATTAGTGTCTCAAAACTGTATTGTCTGAGTCTTCTCTTCTTTAAAAAGTCACAACATTCTGGATCAGGCTACTCTAGTTTTGATCTTTTTTTCTGCAAAAGCATTTGTATTCAATTCTACCATGGCTTTTTAGGAAGGTTAATTGTTTACCAAAAACCTCTTGTATTTTGAAAGCTACTATAGGTTGTTTTTGTGTATCTAGTCAAAAAAGGTCTGTCATACGTGCACTTTCACATCAACTCCAGAAGGTGGCAGACAGCTATGCTTAGACTCTTACATGTGAAGAAACTAGATTTTTGCCTGTATTCATAGAATGATAGAATATTAGAACTGGAAGAAACCTCGAGCGTTTGTCCATTTCAGTCTGCTGCCCACTGGCAGGACCAAGCACCATCTAGATCAGGGATGGGCAATAATTTTTGAAGGGGAGCCAAATTTGTGAAGTGGTTGTGGGCCATCCTGAAAGGGACGGGGCCTTGGGCAGAAGGGTCAGGGCCAGGAGACTTCATCATCTGCAGATCTTGATTGGCTTGGGGGTGGGGAGCACATGAAGTCTAAGCCTCCCCCTCCTCCCAGCCCCTGCCCTGCCATGGGCATGCAGCACCTAGAGAGATCTGCCAGTTGTTTTGAACAGCTGGACGTTCCCCTGGTGCCACATGTAGCTGGTGGGGGTAGGAGACTTTACGCACTCACCCATCCCCAGGACTCGATTGGACTTGGGCTGGGGGAGTGGCAGGGGGGCCGCAGGCCAGGAACCCTTTCAATTGCTGCTATTTAAAAGGCTCCTGGCTCTAGCTCCAGGAGCTACAAGCTCTTTAAATAGCAATTTAAAGGTTTGCACCTGCTAGGAGGCTGCTACCATGTTGCCTGGCAGCTGTCTGGAAAGAGCAAGCCCTTTAAATTGCAGGAATTGAAAGGGCCCATGCCTCCCTGGTGGCTCCCAGGCAACATGTTAGCAGCGGAGCTGGGATCTGCGAGCCCTTTCAACTTGCTTCTATTTAAAGCAATTGAAAGGGCTCACGCCTTCCGGTCAGCTCCGAGGCAACACATTAGCAGTGGAGCCAGAAGCTGGCCGGATCCAAGTGCTAGAGCAAGAGAGCATCTTGCCCAGCCCTGAGCTAGATCATCTTGACAGGTGTCTGTCTAACCTGTTCTTAAAAATCTCCAATGATGGATATTCCACAACCTCCCTTGGCAATTTATTCCAGTGTTTAACTACCCTGACAGGGAGTTTTCCCTAATGTCCAGCCTTAACCTCCCTTGCTGCAGTGTAAGCCCATTGCTGCTTTTTCTATCGTCAAAGGTTAAGGAGAATAATTTTTCTCCTTCCTCTTTGTATACTTGAAAGCTGCTATCCTGTCCCCACTGTCATTTCTTTTCCAGACTAAATAAGCCCAGTTTTTTCATCTTCCCTCACAGGTCATGTTTTCTAGACCTTTAATTATTTTTCTTTTCTGGACCTTCTCCAATTTCTGCACATCTTTCCTGAAATGTAGTGCCTGGATGTAGACACAATATCCCTGTTGAGGCCTTAACTGCAGAGAGGGAAAGAATAACTCTTGTGTCTTGCTTACAACACTCCTGTTAATGCATCCCAGAATGATGTTTGCTTTTTTTGCAACAGTGCAACACTGACTCATACTTAGTTTGTGCTCCTCTATGACCCCTAGATCCTTTTCTACAGTACTCCCTCGTAGCCAGTCACTTCCCATTTTGTATGTGTATGACTGGGTGCGGTCACAGAAGACCCCTTGGGCCTCCTTCCCAGTATGCTGAAACAGTCACTGACACTTTCCTCCTTGCTGTCTGGGGCTTCTCACTACCCTGTCCTGCTGGACCAAACCTCCTGGTCTTCCCCAGCCAAAGCACAGAGCTGAGATCACTACCTCCCCTCCACCCTCATCAAAGAGCAGTGCAGACACTGAATCCTTTCAGGTCTGAGGAGAATGCAGTTTCAGGCACAACATCCAGGAAACCAACCCCCCAAATGTGATCAGAACCCCAAATAAACCATTCAGGCACACCCCCTTTAACAATGAAAAGAGGATGTTCACATTGTTCCCCCAGGTAACAATTATTTACATTGGGCCTGATAGTAAATAAAAGTAATTTTATTAAGTACAAACAGTGGGGATTTAAGTTGTTGCAAGTGAGAATAGAGCAAAGTAAATAACGGATGTAAAATAAAAGAAAACGCATAGCTAGTTCTAACACACTAGAGCAGGGGTTCCCAACCTGGAGTACGCGTACCCCCAGGGGGTACAAGAAGCTTGTCAAGAGGGTATGGGGAATATTTGGTAAATAACTAGATTATCCTAATTGAAATATTCCAAAAGTAGTAGTGTTAGTGAAAAAAGTTGTGGATTCTAGAGTCCAGAATTTATTTCCTTTCATATTGAATAGGGGGTATGGGAAGGTTTATTAAAAGCCAAGGGAGTACGGGGACTGAAAAAGGTTGAGAACCCCTGCACTAGAGCTTATTTTAAGTTTACCCTAAAACTATTCTGATTTAGGCTAAAACCCCAAACTAGGGAAGATCCTTTTTTCCCTGGAGTCTCTGCATCCTTTTGGATGTTTCATGCCATCCAAAGACAAAGAGCCTGAAAACTTTGCATCCTGCATTCTTTTGGGCAGGAATTCTTTGTTTCTACATTCCACCTTCCATGGAAAATTACCTGGTTAGACCCTACCAGTTAGGGTAGTCAGATGTCTTCCTAAGACCAACCACTGCTTAGACTTAAAGGACAAAAGTGGCTGTTTTCAATATCTACTCTAGGTGATTACCTGTAATTTCTGAGCATTGAAAGCACTCTTGATGGCTTTCATTTGCACATTTAAAGCCATAAGCCATTTCCCATCCCATATCTCTAACTTTACGTACAAGAGTGGTGCATACACCAAAACCAGAGAAAAACAGATCTCGCAGATTGACATGAAAAATTACATGAGGTATTTTGTAATAAAGGTTACATGAGGTATTTTGTTCTAAGCATCTTCGAGTTGTGCATATTTGTGAAATTGTCTTATGGGCACAAAGCATGGTGGGTAGGGGGGTTTCTGTCATAATGTATGAAACTGATTGATTGTTCCTTTCTAAGTGGAACTTATTGAACTCCATCTGCAGACCATTTCTCCAATTTCTCCAGATCCTTTTGAATTATGACCCTGTCCTCCAAAGCACTTGCAACCCCTCTGTTTGGTATCATCTGCAAACTATTCTCTATGCCAGTGGTAGGCAAAAGGGCCTCCACAGGCCAAATCCAGCCCACCTAGTGAATTGATCCGGCCCTTGGAGGCCCTGCTACTCCCCCACCCCCAGGCCAATTAGAGCCTGGAGCTGGTGGGGAAGCACACGACGTTTCCTCCGCCCTGCCAGGAGCACACGGTGCTTAGAAGCACCATGCAATCCTGGCAGGGCGGGAGGAGACTTCGCACTCTCCTGCCACCAAGTCCTTATTGGCCTGGAGGTAGAGGGTGGGGTGCATGAAGTCTCCTCCCACTGCCAGGGGCATGGGCACCTAGGGGGAATCTTGGGGGTCAGCAAAGACTTCAAGTGCTCCCCCACCTCCAGAGCAATCGGGGTCTGTGGGTGTGGAAGCAGGGAAATATCCTGGCCCTGCCCTTTCCGGAGCAGCCCAGGGCCACTTCAAAAATTTCTGAAGTGGCCCCTGACAAATTGTTGCCCACCCCTGTTCATCTGAATATCTTGCTTCCTTGGCCTTCCTTCCCCCTACCAACATGAGTCTGCTCTCAGGATGGCAAACAAGGTAACTTCTTCTCCAGCTGAGTTTTACTCACCTGGGTTCTAGAGCCCTCTCATAGATGGTTAAGGGGAGTAGGGATGATAATCTCATTGGAGAACACTGTCAGTAGATGCTGTCACAAACCTCTTGACCTCCACTCCCTTCCCCACCCCAGTGGAGCAAAATGTCAGCACTATTGAGCCTATGCTCAAGAAAGAGTTTTTTTATGTTGATAGTTTCTTAAATTGCTGCTCTTCCCGTTTTGGGGTATGGTGTGTTGGACAAGGAAAGCTGAGATTGTAGAGAGATCGTTCCAATATTAGCCAGTGCTTCAAGCTTCCCTGCATCCTGTCATTCTGGCTTCAGGCCAGAGTGTGATACAGATAATATAGGTCTTGTTAGTATATGTTCTGGCTGTGGACATGAGGTAGATAACTTGCTGGTTCTAGTAAAATTGACTACTTGCTTTTGATAGTACTAAGGCAGCTACAGACTCTAAGAGGCATATACAGGTTTTAATTAAATAGATGCTCTCTCAAAGAGCCAGAAAAGTTGGATCTGGGCAGTTGTGGCTTGTTTGGTAAGTAGCTCTTTACCATCTCATCTGGCTATGTACCTATGTTAAAGGAGCCCTGGTGAGAGAGGAAGCTGACTTGGGCTTCAGAACCATCAGAGGATCAAGCTGAATTGTAAATGGTAGATTCTGTGTAACTTGAAGTCTTTAAACCATATTTTGAGGATTTCCGTAATTCTATCAGAGGTGTGGGGTGGATGAGGGTCTGTGGCCTGCAATGTGAAGGTCAGAATAGATGATCAGAGTGGTCTATTCTGGCCTTGTGGTCTAGGAATTAGATGGTATGGAACTGTTTGGGGAGGGCATGGGCAGGAGCTGTGGGGTTGAAGGTGTCTACTCTATTAAATAGGAATTACCCACTTGACTTTTGGTGTTAAAAAGTCTTGTTGGACTCCAAGCTACCCCTAGATATTTCATGTAGAAAGAGAAGTAGTCAAGAGTGCTGCTTTAATCTTTGCTTCACAGAGAAGTTCCAGTCTTTCCTCTCTTTTCTCTGTTGCTTTCTTACCCCACGCCATAAATTGTGCAATGTGGAATATGCAGAGCTACATTTGACGACAACTGGGAAAGTACCTGTTGTCTCAAAACGCTATAGCAGCCTGTTCACTTAGTAGTTTCTTCCGTGGAATGTATTCACATTATTCTGTTTCGAAGGCAGAACTGAAAAAGGGATGCCATGACAAACTGCATGCCTACCGTTTGTTGAGACTTAACATGTTTTGTTCAAAGTTGTTACGCAAGTTGTGTTTTGGCAACCACATGATGGGTAAAAGCAATTTGATGACTACAACTAACAGCAAGTCAGTAAATTGGCACTCATTTAATCAGTCTGTCCATAATAAATGCTGATCCACACATTTGTAGAAGTAGAAACTGGGCAATAAACAGTGACTGATCAAGGAAAGTGAGACTCTGTAGCCTGGGTTTTAGGGTTTGCATCTGGGATGTGGGAGACCCAGGTTCAAGTCCTATGGTCACATAATTGTTTACCTACAAAAAGTAGAGTAGCTTCAATAGGAGAAATTGAGCCTCTTACCAGTGCATCCTTTGTTCCAGGGGCTAGGATACTCTCCTATGCTGTGGGAGACCTAAATTCTAATTCCTTCTCGAGGTGGAGAATTGAACCTGGTATCTCTCAGCCTAATGAGTTTTAAGGAATTGGGGGCATCACCAGCTCTGTCCATGACTTAGACTTGCTTTCCTGTGCCCACAATCAAAATTTAAAGTCCTCAAGTCAGGTCAAAATGAAATGTGACTTTCACCTCTTTGAAACATTGATATTTGTTTGCTCAAAACTCTTTGGTGAACTTGACATCATTTCACACATACTTTGACCTGAAATACCTTTTTTGGTGACTAAAGTATTCACCAAAAAAGTGGTTGATATACTGTCAACTGAAGGACTCACTCCTATTCATTTCAGTGTCTATGATGTACTTCGAAAGTTTAGCAGATTTACTTTATAGTTTGCATTACAAGTGTGTTGTGGAATTAGAGAAGGGAGATCATCTAGTGTATCCAAATTTAGTGCTTTCTGAAATGGCTGGGTGTTGGTCAGTTTGCAGATTGTGGAAGCTGCAGCTAGAGATAATGCAAGTCTTCCTACTAGTTATCATTTACTTCCTTATGTTTGAGCAACTACAGAAGTCATCTTCATAACCAGGTTCCACAATATATATTTGATTATGGGGTATCCTTAAATTTTACCTGTTGGATTATTAAAACTTTCTTTCCTATTGTTGAAATTTTGTCATGGTAAAAGCCCAACAGAGAATCCCTTTTGTTGGTCCTGACCGACCTGTTTCATTCCATCCTGGAAAGCATATTTTCTTTTGACCTAACTTTTTTTTTTTTTTAAATGGCCACAACCTGCACAATTCACATGGTGTAACTAAACCCCCAAGCCAACGTTTTCAAACTTAAGTGACTAACTTAAGTACTCAACACATGTTCAAGGCACTGAAGTCTGAAAGATTTTCCCTGGAAGTTCTTTTGGCCTCTGTAGGAAGCAGGATCCTTGGAATCAGGAGAACAAATTATCAGCAAGAAAATTATCAGCAAGGAAGCATATTTTTATGGCTGTTGCACTTATTGAAGCCTGTGAGATTAAAGAAGTTCAATGTATGGCTGTCACCAAATCATCTTTGGTAGGAATAGCAATGTTTGACATTATCCGGATGAAAGTTTAGTCCTATTGTAACTAATTGACTACTAGTTAATTTAAGCCAACTAACATGATTGTGGCATGTGTAGATCATCATTTGCAAACTTTTATTCTAGAATACAAATGTTTTAGTCTAGCTTGGGTTACAGGGCATATCAAATGTCTGTAGTGAAACAAGCATTGGTGGACTATCTACACAGCTCAAATTAATTGGCAAACATTTAATTCTAGCTACAAAACTCTAGACTAAACAAAGCCTTCAAGGTCATGCTAGGTAGCAGAATTCTTCAGATTGCAGTTTCCACATGGCTGCCTCACTTTCCTTTGCATTCTTTTGAAGTTCATACCGTGTAGTATGGATATAGGATAATGTTTAGCAAAAATACAATTTCCCATCTGTTCCTTAAATCTCTCCTGTGAGTCAAGGTAACCATCCTTTATCATACTTCCCAAAGCATCTCCCAAGATGACGACTTTAAAACTGTGATTGACTGAGCCTGGCATGTCTGGCTTCGTCTTATAAAGACTGTAGTACTGCTATCTCTTCCTTATTTGCTTTTAAGGGCGAAGGCTTGTGGTTCATACTGAAATTTTATTTTTGCTTCCCTTTAAGTACACAAATAAGATTCTCCAGCTCCTGGCCTCATGCTGCTGTGGGCTGCCAGAGTTCTCTGTTCCTGGGCTGCCATGGATGTTCGGGATTCTCCAGCTCTATGTTGCTATGTTTCCCTGGTCCCACACTGCTCTGGGTGACCAAATTTCCCTGGCTCCGGGCTGTCAGGATTCTCCAGCCCCAAGCTGCCTTGGGTGGCTGGGCTTCTTTGGCCCCCATCCCTGTGCTGCCATGGGCTGCTGGGATTCTCCGGCCCAGTATTTTTGTGGGGCTCTGGCCCTTCTGTCCCCAGCGACGCTGCTGTCACTCCTACCATTAGACTTCTGGGTTCTCTGGTCCAGGAACATTCATACCAGGTTTTCAGAGGTTCAACCTGTAATAAGCTGGTTTCTATGGAATTGCACATGATTGAAATCTGTCCTAGGCCTTGCACTCTGAGAAACACAATGGCAGTGTTTTATGGCTAGAACATGTAATGAAAAATAGCCGTGATAATGTTCTAGTTCTTCCACCAAGCAGTAGCATTGCTCTGCTGTCTTGAGGTGAAGAATTCAGCGGCCACAATGAATTTCTTTACTATCTGAACTGGAATGAAACCGACTAAGCGTGACTGAACTCACAGGGGAGAAATCAGAGGCTAGCAACTTGCCTGCTCCTGAAAAATATATATATAAAGCTTCTGCTGTGCTAAATTTTGTCAATGCATCCTGCAGTAATATTGCAGTAGGACTAATAAAAATATTAATGGATTATGACTGCTCAGCAAGTGCATGGGAAGACAGAGAAATATAGTCCCCTAATATTGCCCAACAGCACTTTTTCTCTGACTCATTCCATTTCACAATATCCGTTTTAATAATGTGGCAACCACGCTTTTGCATCTCAGAACTATACTAGCAAGGTGGCTAGAATTTGAGCTAATAAACTTGTGACTGAATACAAATAGCCATCTGCGTAAGCATTTATATTGTGTCATCTGAACCCTTTCACAAAATTCTGTAAACTTCCCTAAATAGTGATCAGTGTGAGATGACTATTTTAAAAAATCCTGTTAATTTCTTCATGGTCTTCCCTTGGTTTGTCGTCTTATCCTCAGGATTTTTCAAAAATTAATGTTAGACTACAAAAGCATAAAATAAAGCAGCAAAGTGAAACAACTCCTTTGTCATTCTTGCTGCCTCCTTCTTTCCCGAGCAGCTAGCCACCTCTGTCCTCTCTCCTCACTCTATGCCCCTTTTCACTGCTGTGCCCTGCCCTGCCATATCTACAAAATGTTATATTAGAAACTTGTCAGACAGTCGTTTTAATTTTAAGACTCTACATGGGTTGTGAAAAGTTGTGATGCATTGGCAGTATACATAGCTACTTATATGACTTCTCCAGATATGCGTAATGAACCATGTCAAAACATGGTGACTTAAAATGCTAAACACTTTACAAGAGAAACATTTCCAGTTTTTAGAATGCCAATAACTGAGACATATGGATCCATGTTTGAGATGCTTCAGGTGATAGCAGAAGCAGAGAACAATTACTGACATTTAGAATGCCAATAACTGAGACATATGGATCCATGTTTGAGATGCTTCTGGTGATAGCATTAGCAGAGAACAATTACTGACCGATTATATAACTTGGCTTGTATGACAGATGGTGTGTGTGAAATTTAGAATTGCCAGTGGCCAAAATATTTCTTAGTATTTTGAGCATCAGATCTGGAAGCTCAAGTTTGGATCCAGGCAGGGATGATCAAGCCTTTCCTGTCTCTAGGAGGAATAAATTCAAAGCAAACTGTATAGCGCTTAAAACCGGTGGTGTCCAACACGCTATCCACTAACCACATGAAGTTATTTGTCCGGTTGAGATGGCTAGTTTGCTGGGTTGATTTAGTTGGGATTGGTCCTACCTTGGGCAGGGGGCTGGACTTGATGACCTCCTGAGGTCTCTTCCTGCTCTGTGATTCTATGAAACTATTAACAAGGATAACGTTCTTCAGGGCATATTCTGATATGGACTAAGTATGTCCTATTTCTTTAGAACCAAACAGCTATTAGTTTGTAATGACTTTTAATTATGATTTGGAGCTGGTTTTAGACAAAATTCCTATCCAAATGCCACTTTCTGTGACCATCCAGTCATATTTTTAAGGCTATTAATCTGCACAAGTAATCTAATTTTATTGATTTATGGAAAACAGAGCTGTCTTGTTGTGATATTTCTAAGATTCCCAATTTACTTTCAGGCATGCCGAAGTGATGAAGAAAATAATTGAAACAGTTGCAGAAGGTGGGGGAGAACTTGGAGTTCATATGTATCCTTTCCATGGAATATCGGGAGACCTCTAAAGAGTATGCTGTCTAATAAAGTTATAATCCATCCTCTGTTCATTACTACAATGTTGTTTTGCAGTAATTTATGAGGCTTAATGCTCCTGAAGTAATTTTAGATTAGCAATTTTTTCTTATGCATAGGAATTGAGAAGTAGCAAGCATGTGGTATCTCCCTCAGCAAAGTGTGTAAATGATGTCATGCTAGTTCATAAAGCAAATACAACTGACCAACAGTGAAAATAATTCATGTATTCTTACTTGTTAACTTCACTTTTCTGTTAGTTGCATTTGTACAAATAGTATTTTCTCTGATCTCTGTGAGACGAGGGATCTTAATTGATTTTTGTAATAGCAGTTGGTACAATAATTACACACAATATAATAGTACCGTTTCAGACAGAAATGCCACTTTCAAAGTGCCAGTGTCCATTGAAATGAATCCGTTCCTTTGGCTTTCCTGTTCTAAGGGAAGACAACTGTGGTGCTAGTGGAAACTGAATCAGAAGCAGCTTTTGTAGCAACTAGCTTTAGGCCTGGAATAAACAAAGTTGTACCAGGATAGGATGCTGCTAATTAAGTGAATAGTGTGGGATTTTAACCCTTCACATTGCTCTGATGGTCATTCTGCTACTATTCAAGATGGACACAAACTCTAAATTATTTAAATCGCCGCTTCATTTTTCTATGCCGGGTAGTCTAATCTACATGCCTCTGTCAGCAGAGGCATGTAGTCTAGATGCACCCTCAGTGGACATACATTGTATATCATGTAAAACTAGATTAGTGTGATCAGGGTAAAGTTTTTTTTTTTTTTTTTTTTAAATCTGATGAATTTCTTGAACTGGAAATAATACCTGATCAAATTGTAACAGTTTTGAGAAATGTCATTCTTCACTATATTAATATATTGTTTTCTTAACCCCTTTAGACTTTCTAAGCTGTACTTTTCTTACTGTAATGAAATGGTAGTAAGATTCAGGTCACTTATAAAAGGCATAATTCAACCTAATTTTCTTGGATATAAAGTAAACATTTAATTATTATAACAGCACTTTTTCTCTGACTCATTCCATTTCACAATATCCGTTTTAATAATGTGGCAACCACGCTTTTGCATCTCAGAACTATACTAGCAAGGTGGCTAGAATTTGAGCTAATAAACTTGTGACTGAATACAAATAGCCATCTGCGTAAGCATTTATATTGTGTCATCTGAACCCTTTCACAAAATTCTGTAAACTTCCCTAAATAGTGATCAGTGTGAGATGACTATTTTAAAAAATCCTGTTAATTTCTTCATGGTCTTCCCTTGGTTTGTCGTCTTATCCTCAGGATTTTTCAAAAATTAATGTTAGACTACAAAAGCATAAAATAAAGCAGCAAAGTGAAACAACTCCTTTGTCATTCTTGCTGCCTCCTTCTTTCCCGAGCAGCTAGCCACCTCTGTCCTCTCTCCTCACTCTATGCCCCTTTTCACTGCTGTGCCCTGCCCTGCCATATCTACAAAATGTTATATTAGAAACTTGTCAGACAGTCGTTTTAATTTTAAGACTCTACATGGGTTGTGAAAAGTTGTGATGCATTGGCAGTATACATAGCTACTTATATGACTTCTCCAGATATTCGTAATGAACCATGTCAAAACATGGTGACTTAAAATGCTAAACACTTTACAAGAGAAACATTTCCAGTTTTTAGAATGCCAATAACTGAGACATATGGATCCATGTTTGAGATGCTTCTGGTGATAGCATTAGCAGAGAACAATTACTGACCGATTATATAACTTGGCTTGTATGACAGATGGTGTGTGTGAAATTTAGAATTGCCAGTGGCCAAAATATTTCTTAGTATTTTGAGCATCAGATCTGGAAGCTCAAGTTTGGATCCAGGCAGGGATGATCAAGCCTTTCCTGTCTCTAGGAGGAATAAATTCAAAGCAAACTGTATAGCGCTTAAAACCGGTGGTGTCCAACACGCTATCCACTAACCACATGAAGTTATTTGTCCGGTTGAGATGGCTAGTTTGCTGGGTTGATTTAGTTGGGATTGGTCCTACCTTGGGCAGGGGGCTGGACTTGATGACCTCCTGAGGTCTCTTCCTGCTCTGTGATTCTATGAAACTATTAACAAGGATAACGTTCTTCAGGGCATATTCTGATATGGACTAAGTATGTCCTATTTCTTTAGAACCAAACAGCTATTAGTTTGTAATGACTTTTAATTATGATTTGGAGCTGGTTTTAGACAAAATTCCTATCCAAATGCCACTTTCTGTGACCATCCAGTCATATTTTTAAGGCTATTAATCTGCACAAGTAATCTAATTTTATTGATTTATGGAAAACAGAGCTGTCTTGTTGTGATATTTCTAAGATTCCCAATTTACTTTCAGGCATGCCGAAGTGATGAAGAAAATAATTGAAACAGTTGCAGAAGGTGGGGGAGAACTTGGAGTTCATATGTATCCTTTCCATGGAATATCGGGAGACCTCTAAAGAGTATGCTGTCTAATAAAGTTATAATCCATCCTCTGTTCATTACTACAATGTTGTTTTGCAGTAATTTATGAGGCTTAATGCTCCTGAAGTAATTTTAGATTAGCAATTTTTTCTTATGCATAGGAATTGAGAAGTAGCAAGCATGTGGTATCTCCCTCAGCAAAGTGTGTAAATGATGTCATGCTAGTTCATAAAGCAAATACAACTGACCAACAGTGAAAATAATTCATGTATTCTTACTTGTTAACTTCACTTTTCTGTTAGTTGCATTTGTACAAATAGTATTTTCTCTGATCTCTGTGAGACGAGGGATCTTAATTGATTTTTGTAATAGCAGTTGGTACAATAATTACACACAATATAATAGTACCGTTTCAGACAGAAATGCCACTTTCAAAGTGCCAGTGTCCATTGAAATGAATCCGTTCCTTTGGCTTTCCTGTTCTAAGGGAAGACAACTGTGGTGCTAGTGGAAACTGAATCAGAAGCAGCTTTTGTAGCAACTAGCTTTAGGCCTGGAATAAACAAAGTTGTACCAGGATAGGATGCTGCTAATTAAGTGAATAGTGTGGGATTTTAACCCTTCACATTGCTCTGATGGTCATTCTGCTACTATTCAAGATGGACACAAACTCTAAAATAAACTTAAAAAACAATAAATGGTCTGGTAGCACTTTATAGACTAACAAAACATGTAGATAGTACCATGACGTTTCGTGGGCACAGCCCACTTCTTCAGATGGCCGGAGCTTACAAACTATAGTGTTTGTTTTATACCAACTGGGTATAGAAGGGACAGACTGTGTAGTTTGATGTTTTTTTTTTTTTTTTTTTAAATCTGATGAATTTCTTGAACTGGAAATAATACCTGATCAAATTGTAACAGTTTTGAGAAATGTCATTCTTCACTATATTAATATATTGTTTTCTTAACCCCTTTAGACTTTCTAAGCTGTACTTTTCTTACTGTAATGAAATGGTAGTAAGATTCAGGTCACTTATAAAAGGCATAATTCAACCTAATTTTCTTGGATATAAAGTAAACATTTAATTATTATATTATTCTGTGTTTACCTTAACTAGAGACTCAGGTACCTTCTTATTTTCTTGAAATTTGTACAAGCAGTCATTCCAACAATAGAATATGACTACACAAGACACTTTACAATGTAATTAGAAATCACAAATGTCAATGCTAATTACTGGTTGATTTTTAAAAAAAAGTGTAACTTGTTTGTTCAGCATTGTACTCCATTTCTGTAACTCAACTTTTATCAAGTTAATGCATCAAAATAAAAAGTTCCACTACCAGCCTTACTTTTTAATAAATACCTGTGTTAAAATAAACCACTTTTCATTCCTGTACTTGCAGGATAGGTTTTTATATTCACATATTATTAATCTAGTTAGTCCTTAAGCACCTTTTTACTGACAGCTAGTAGCTCTTTCATATCAAAGGTTAAAACTTTGCTTTCCAGTATAAGCCTAAACTTGTTTCTTTTGGCTTCCATAATAAAATACTTCTTATTTTTCAAGTAACTTCCAGTTCAAATGTTTTTGTATAATCCATGACTATCTCGGAACTACTTGATGAAACTTGTGATTTGCTCAGGTGCCTTTCTGAAACAATGCTGGCGAAAGTGATCATGTCTGCAGGCAAAAATAGTTAGTCCTAGAAACAGCAAAGATGGCTTATGCGAAATGTTGTTAAAGTATAGTGGTGAAATGGTGGAAAGGAAGCCTATTTGGGAGATCTACACTGCCATTCCTAACAGTGAATTATTTGAGCCTCCAGATTGAAGGTACCAAGAACACAATGATTTTAAGCATTCATTTAAAGAAGCTTTTTCTATTCTAATATTTCAAAATGCAAACTGACTTTTAATATTTTCTGTCCACAAATAGTTTGGGTTAGTAGTACTGCCCACCAGTAGTCCTTAGACTTCCACCACTCATTGTAAGTGAATTTGCTCTGCCTGTGTGTTCTTTTTCTGTTGTTTCCATGGATTCAAATACTTAAGTTTCATTCATAACTGCTCATGAGAAGTGGTGGTCAAAGTCGCAGCTGGGCCCTACAACTGTTGAATTTACCCATGAGTAAACAATGTCATGTGCTTGAAAGATCTTATGAGAGACGGTTGATTAAAGATAACGGATCCAGATTAAATGCTAGGTGAAAACATTAACCGAGCCAGACAACAGAATTTTCACAAGTATACAGGAACAACATGCAGTTCGATGCTAGCAGAAAAGGAAAAATGCAGAAGTTAGTCAATGATTTCCATCAATGCAATTATTTTGTTGCTTCTTTGTAAAAGACCAAGGGTACGTCTAGACTACATGCCTCTGGCGACAGAGGCATGTAGATTAGGCTACCCGACAGAGTAAAATGAAGCGGCGATTTAAATAATCGCCGCTTCATTTAAATTTACATGGCTGCCGCGTTGAGCCGACAAACAGCTGATCAGGCATACCTGGGGATAGTCTGGACGCTCCCCTGCCGACATCAAAGGGAGTTGTCGACAACCCAGGTATGCCTCATCCCAGTAGGCATACCTGGGTGGTCGACAACTCCCTTTGATGTCGGCAGGGGAGCGTCCAGACTATCGCGCTGAGCCGACAAACAGCTGATCAGCTGTTTGTCGGCTCAAAGCGGCAGCCATGTAAATTTAAATGAAGCGGCGATTATTTAAATCGCCGCTTCATTTTACTCTGTCGGGTAGCCTAATCTACATGCCTCTGTCGCCAGAGGCATGTAGTCTAGACGTACCCTAAGATTCATCATGATCCATGTATGGAGGAAAGGGGAAATGGAGCTACCGCCACCAGCAGATCCCAACACACCAGTTGTAGCTTTCCTCATCCCTCTGAGAATCCTGTCTCCAGAACTCCTGCATACTCTAGCCTTCCCTCTTGCCTCTATGTCATAGAAGCTTAAGTACAGATATTCCCCTTGTCTGGTTCATCTTGAAGCTCCCATGACTGACTTGCCTTTCCCAAGTCATCTATTTCCTGCATCATAGAATGTCTTGATTCACTCTCATGCCAGTTTTGCCTCCCTGCATGTGTGTTAAAATTCCCTGGGTGCTGCTGTGGGTTATAATAGCACCTGCATTAGTCCTTCACCCCCAAGTCATGCCCATCTATTAAGCACTGTAAATGGTCCACAGAGAGCTAGAGCTGTGAGGAAAACCAGTGGTGAAATCCTGACTGCATTGAAGTCAGAGTTGTCCCTAGGAAATAGGGAATGAGGTAGGGAAGCTGTCTTGCAGAAGTTGAAATGCTTAAAACCACGTAGCGCTCCTATGTTGGATGACCCAATAGTATTGAATGTATGTCAACCATTTCAAAAGTGCAAATGGGGAGGACTCTCTCTCACATGCCTATGTACAAGGATTCCCAGATGAAGACCTTCATTGGCCACAGGCAAAGGTAAGTGTATCTGTTTAACTTAAAAATAAATTTGTCCCAGATGAAGACCTTCATTGGCCACAGGCAAAGGTAAGTATATCTGTTAATTTAACTTAAAAATAAATTTATATTTATATTGAAATAAAAACTTAGAAGTGAGGAGATACAATTGTGTTTATTATTGAAAAAATCAAACAGGTATAAGTGTGGAAATACAGGGGTGAAGTTAGAGAGTTGCTTTAACTTTGCCCATATAATGCTACTTTGATTAAGCTCTTAAAAAAAAAAAAATCTGGCTACTACTTTGTCCACAATAAGCAACTTAATCTAATGACTGTAGAAATTAGAATGCTTTGCATTCAGTAATACAGCATTAGAGGGTCCATAGGAAAAGATATCTCATTAGACCAATAACATACTAAAGGCAGTCATTCTCTTCTGAACCCAGACACATTCTGTCTGCCAACAATTATGTATGTAAAATTCCACACTTAAAGGCTACATCTACACTGCAAAGTTTTTGCACAAAAACAGCTGTTTTTGTGCAAAAACTTGCAAAGTGTCCACACTACAAGCCCATTCTTGCTCAAGAAGTAGTAGTACAATAAAGCATCTGATTAGAGGGCTTTTTGCACAAGAATTATTCCTCTCCCCACAAGGAATAAGCCTTTTTGTGCAAGAGTTCTTGTGAAAAAAGGCGTGTGGATGGGCAACAGGGGTTTCTTGCACAAGAAACCTCTATGGCTAAAGTGGCCATCAGAGCTTTCTTGCACAAGAGAGCATCCACACTGCCATGGATGCTCTTGCACACGAACTTTTGTGCAAGAACTCTTGTACAAAATTCTTGCACAAGAAGTTTGCAGCGTAGACATAGCCAAACAGTATCTATGAATACAAGTCTCTTGGATTCAGCTTATGAAATTGAATCAAAAAGAGAATTAATTTTGGTCATAAAAAACTATTATACTTAGTATGTATGCAACTTGGTTTCAGATAAAATTAGGGCACTTTTTTTTAATAGTCCTCCCATAATTTATCTAAGTTGCATAGGGCAAATTGCCTTAATTGTAAGTTGATTCAGGTGTTTCTTGCCTTGGATGATTTTGACATGAATGTTAATCAATGCACCTCTTTGTTTTTTCACCATAACTACTACCTTTTCCCTTATAGATATAGGACACATAGCTGAGTCTGCTTATAGGTTAGCCTTGCATACATGTGTGAGGCTGCTCACTCAGAAATCCACAGCTGTGCTGTTCCATCAGTTCTTATCAAGAATTATACAGATTTTGAGCATATAAAAGCATTTGGGCCTAATTCTGTACTGCACTGTATTTTGTGGATCCCTTTATACAATGGCCGAATGAGTGTGAAATGCTACAATTCTAATTTGTTTGCACTTTGCAGGCATTTACCCTGGTGCAAAAGGATTAGATTGGAAAAGGAGATAAGGGGTGGTCTCCTAGCAGTCTTCAAATACTTGAAAGGCTGCCATAAAAAATGGAGAAAAGTTATTCTCCTTTGTCTCTTGTGCTGCCCTCTGTGGTAATGGGTTCAACATACGGTATAGCAAAAATATTTTAAAACTGAGGAAAAATTTCCTCATAGAAAGAACAGGACAATGGTACAGACTGCCTCAGGAAGTTGTGGAAGCTTCTTTCCTAGAAGATTTCACAAAGAGGCTGGATAATCATCTGTCTCAGCTGGTTTAGCTACAAATGCTGCTTTGGAAGAGGTTAGACTAGATCCATGCTTCTCAAACTGTGGGGTGGGACCTCTACTGATATGGTGACCCCATTTTAACTGGTGTTGCCGGGCCTGGTGTTGACTAGCTGAGATAAGGAGTTCAGGCCCAAGCCCAAACCTCACTGCCTGAGGCTCACTGTCTGGGACTAAAACCTTCATCCTTCAGTGGCTGGTCACAAACCCTTGGGCTTCAGCTTTGTCCTCAATTCTTGGGCTTTGGCTTCCTCCCTCCTCCCCCACCTGCACTTCATCTGTACTTAATCTCCTCTCGGAGTTGTCGAGCAAAGTTTGTTGTCAGATCCACCTGCACTTCATCTGTACTTAATCTCCTCTCTTGGAGTTGTCGAGCAATGTTTGATGTCAGACGGGGGTTGTAGTGCAATTAAATTTGAGAACTCCCTGGACTAGATGACCTTTGTGGTCTCTTCTAAGCCTATTATTAGGGCCCCAGCGAATTCAGTCTACTACAGTCAATTTCATGGTCATAGGATTTTTTAAAAGTGCAAATTTAATGATTTCAGCTATTTAAATCTGAAATTTCCCTGTGTTGTAAGTGTACAGTTCCTCAACCCCATAATTGTAGGGGGTGTACAGTTTTGCTACTCTTTCTTTTGCACTGCTACTGGTAGCAACACTACCTTCAGAGCTGGGTGGCTGGAGAATGGTGGCTACTGATTGGAAGCCACCATTTCCAGCTGCTCTATAGTAAGGATGGCATGGTGTGGTATTGCCAGCTGTACTACAGCGCTGGGCCCTCAGTCAGCAGTCACCACTCTCCAAGCCACCCACTTCTGAAGGCAGAAGCGCATAAGTGAAAGGTGGTAAGATGTATATGACATGTTATGGGATTGTCACCCTTACTCTGCACTGCTGCTGGTGAGGTGCTGCCTACAGTGTCTGACCAATATCTCTGCCTGTCTCCGGCAGCCACTCTGAAGGCAGAGCAGAAGTAAGCATGGCAATACCGTGACCCCTTAGAATAACCTTGTACTTCTCTTCCCTCTACCACACACACACACACACACACACTCTCCCTTTTAGGTCAGGACCTGCAATATGAGAAATGCTGGTCTTCCCCGTGAAATCTGTATAGTAAAGGATAAAAACACACAAGACCAGATGTCATGGTTCATGACATGTTTGTCATGGTTGTGAATTTGGTAGGGCCGTATCTAGGATTCATGGGGCAGGGCAATGGAGAAAG